ATTTTTGAGACAGAGAGAGAGCATGAATCGGGGAGGGTCAGAGAGAGAGGGAGACACAGAATCCGAAACAGGCACCAGGCTCTGAGCTGTCAGCAGAGAGCCTGACGCAGGGCTCGAACTCACGGACCGTGAGATCATGATCTGAGCCGAAGTCAAACGCTTAACCGACTGAGCCACCCAGCGCCCCAAGAATTTATTGTTATTTTTGATAAATTTTTTAATGTCTATTTATTTTTGAGAGACAGAGAGAGACAGAGTGTGAGTGGGGGAGGGGCAGAGAGAGAGGGAGACACAGAATCTGAAGCAGGCTCCAGGCTCTGAGCTATCAGCACACAGCCGGATGCAAGGTTTAAACCTGTGAACTGTGAGATCATGACTTGAGCCAAAGTCGGACGCTTAACTGACTAGGCCACGCAGGCGCCCCCAGAATCAAACTTTTCAAAGAGTCCTCTACATTTCTTGTCTTCATTTTTTCACCATTGACTGTTTTATTAACTTGCTTGAATTTAGGTTCTGCCCTCATCACTCCACTGAGAAAGTAGATCTCTAGAGTTACTAATAGCTCTTATGCCAGTAAATATAATGGGCATTTTTTGATCTTGGATTTACTTTAAACTTAAATATTTAAGCATTTGACAAGGAACTATAACTTCCTTGAAACCATCTCTACTTCAACATGTCAAAAGAGACTCAAAGGCATCATAAATAGCAAACTGAAGCCATTGTTCTCCTTCTACAAGCCTTATGTTTTCTAGAAATCTAGGCACTATCCTTGTCCCCTCACGACGGTCCTGTTTCTAATTCACCAAGTTCTAAATGTTGTTCCTATCTCTTCATCTTCATCATTACATCCATCGTCCAATCTGCCACTACCTTTTGCTGGGACTGTTCTAGTAGCTCTCTGACTGCTTCTCTCAAACCCACTCTGGCCCCTATCTAGGTCTGTGACTTACTACCAGAGCTTTCTTTTTAAAGTAAAATCAATCATTTCACTTTCTTACTTAAAACCCTTTAGTGGCTTATCATTGCTCTTATAACAACAGCCCAAATATTAACCTGACCCTGCAAAGGTTGGCCATTATCTTTTTACTTT